CCCTGATGAAGGCCTGAACTTCAGGTCGAAACGTCGGTATATGTAAAAAAAAAAATAAAAAATAAATATTATCATTTATTTTTTGCCTTCCTTTTTGACTGACCACCCCAACTATTCTTCTCTTCATTATCCACGACAGTCAACCAATTACCAATTATATAAAATATAATATTATCAAAATAGCCTATTCAACACACTCAAGTTATCGAAGCCTCATCCTTTACCACAAGTAACAAAACGTAAAAGTAACAATTAACTTACTGAGTGATTAGCTAATCCAACTGGAAAATATCCCTCCAGTTTAGTGGTTAAGAAATAAGACAGCTTTCTCTGAACTTAAAAAAAGTCCACTATCGTATTCTCTTAAGAACCATAACAATAATTGAAGGATTGGGATGATGTACGTTGCAATCAAAATTCAGAAAGTTTTATTTAACTATAAATAAAAATATATAAAATCTCAAATTAAGGGTGCACAATGCTATGATAAAGCCAGTTCTAATACATTGCTGTGAGACCTGAACACTAACAAGCACTCTAGAAAAAAGTATTGAGAGATTTGAGAGAAAAATTCTTCACGCGATAATCGGAGCGAACCGGGAACAGAATACTAACTTACAGAGAAGAAAGAAAAATAAAGAATTGCTCACAAAAACTGTTCAATCAATATCCCAGGATGTTAAGGCACGGAGGTTAAATTCAGCGGGGCTCGTAGCAATGCATCTGGAAGCATCTACTGATAATGCATGTCTAAAAAAACCAAAAGACCACCTGGAGGGCTAAAAAGCAGATGGATAGATAGAATAAGCAGAAGATGCAATAGAGCTGCTTGCAGATAACTGGAAAGAAATAATCCAAGATACGTAGAGATGGAGCAGGCCTGTTAAGGCCGCAAAATATCTACAATTTAATTAAACTTACAATTACATTGGAATATGTTAATTGATTTTTTTTAAATCTAGGTCTACCTAGTTTGAATTGTATTATTGCAATGAAAAATACAAGATGTTTTATCATTCATGTATTTTATAACAACACAAAGCTTCCATTGAATGAAAAAAACTGTTTATTTTTTCTCCATTCTAAGGTTTTGAATTCATAATTGAGAAAGGTCTTAGAGTTGAGTTAAGAGACTATCAGAGGGAAATATTGGAAAGAGAAATGAGAATATGGAAATACGTTCCTGAATTAACTTTGCGGAGTTGCGGTAAGAGTTTCAATTCCGATGTTAATGATCGCTCTATAGATACTGCAATTTATAATTTTGAAGTTTTGTGTAAATTATAAATTTTTATAGACACATAAAATTTCCATTAAATTATAAATTACGTTTTTGAAACGAATTTGTTTATGACAGCTTGTGTTTCTCATATTGTGTGTTTAAGTTTAAATTGGAAAATTAATTAGTATTATTAAATGGACCTCTAATTTTTAACTTAAACCCTAATATTTTTTTTTATTAAAATCGAATAAGTTTCGATTCCTATGTAAAAAGAACCAATAAATCCGATAGTTTAATAATTTTAAACTAAACTATTTTAAACTAAGTATGTACAATGCTATGATAAAGCCAGTTCTAATATATGGTTGCGAGACCTGGACTCTAACCCCAGCACCCTAGAAAGAAGTGTTGAAAGATTAGAGAGGAAAATTCTCCGCACGATAATCGGAGCGATTTGGGATCGGAGTACTAATACATGGAGAAGAAAAATCAATAAATAACTGCTTACAGAAATTGGTCAATCATTATTGCATGATATGAAGGTACGGAGGTTAAGATGGGAGGGGCATGTAGCTCGAACCAATCCATCTGGAAGCCTCTACGTACTAAGAACGCCTCAATAGAAGGCAAAAGGCCGCGTGGAAGGCCAAAAATCAGATGGATAGATAGAATCAATAGAAGAGCTGCGTGCATATAACTGGAAAGAAATAGCCCGAGACAGGCATAGGTGGAGCAGGCGGCAAAAAAAAAAAAAACCTGCATTTTTATTGTTTTGGTAATACTATTTGTTAATATTATATACTAATGCTGTATATTTGCATATTAATTAAAAAAAAATGTTTATATTGATTATTAAGTATGCTGGGTTTGAAGTAACCCAATATAATTGAGTAGCACCCTTTTATGAAAAAAAAGTGATTCTCTCTCTCTCTCTTCGTTTCTAGGAAAAGCAATATACCGGACTTGTCAGTTAAGGGAGGAAAGCATTTGGATTCATTCACCAATTAATAAATTATTGTTCAATCAGGGAGAGGTATCAACAAGGATGTTATTTCGACATCCCAATTAGGAAAAACATAAATATCGATGATAAAGAGAATTAAATACTGCTTTGAGAAGCAATATCTTTTAAGGATTATAACTCCTATTTTATCGCATAAGTAATCGATAGTAAAAAAAAAATGTCTTTTCATCGAAAACTCGGAATCTAAATATACCCCTCCACCACGTAATATATATATAAAAGTAAAGAACTGAAAAAAATGTTTAAAAAAAAAGAGAAAAAAAAGGTGAAACGAGACAAAGGGTATACTAAAATACACGTTAGTTCTGTTACAGACATTAGAAAAAACCTTTGACAAAAAATGTAGTGGAGTAATTAGAAGAAAAGATACAAAGGGATAGGGAACACGGAATGCATAAAAGAGGGCTACTCACTTATTCCAAGTGCACTAGAAATACTGAGGAAAATTTTTAAAAGGAACAGTGCCATGGAGGCAAAGGCCAAAGGATGAAAAAGCTGTACTATTGGATTCACGCTTAATAGAAATTCATTTACTTTCATCCAAACGAGAACTAGGTGTCGAATAGCAATGTTTTGTAGCAACACTCTTTGATAACTTAAATATTTATTCGTATTACACAATCATAATAATATAATCGTATAAAATAAAAGAAATATAACTGTTTAAATATACATAGCACATGGATGTAGATATTAAACTTGATCGATGTGTTGCTCTTTCTATATTATTCTAATATTCATTTGGTCATAAAACGATTTAATTTAATCTTACTTTATTTTTTACTTTTCTGCCTATACTAAGTAAGGAAAGTATTGCAATCGTGTCGAATTTCCGATATGCGGTTTTCGACGGATCTATACGTTTCAGAGCTCCCTGAGTTCGATAACACATTTTTAGCCATTGGTCTTTCTGTCTGTCGCAAATCACATACTAGCGATGATATTCTATTCTCTACATGGTTTAATTTAACCCCGGAGAACACATTTTTATAGCATGTTTTTTTAAACGGTGAATTTTCCTAGAAAACTGTATAAAAATCGTTCATTTCGGACAATTATCAACGAAGATACAGCTATTCAATTTCCAATGTAATGTGGGATTCATTATCCTGGTGTCAGAAAGGGGTGAATGATAAAAAAAAAAGATAACTACGTGAAAGTAAAAAAAATCTGTTGCCCCACACAAGCTTCACTATTTCCTCTACTTTTAACAGAAATTATTGTTTGAAAAATTAGGCAATGGCAAAAAGTTTTGTTGATCACCAATATTAGAGGGTATTGAAATTCTTACACTGATCTACCTTAAGCCGGTTTACATTGCTTTAGTTTATCGAATAAATCGTACTCAAATCTTTTCTTGGATAAGGTCAGGAAAATAAATCTAATTTAATTTTTTTTTCGTTTCTTGATGGACATATATAAAGATGTAAAAACTTCTCTGAAATAGGCAGGAAAGTCTTATGAGTGGACACACCAGATTTTTTTTTTCAAATATCACTACAAAAAATATTAGAAAAGTTTTCTACTAACATTCGATTTAATTTATATAAATGGTATAATATTGTTAGTATCATTCAGGTTTATCATTTTCAGTAATGAAAATGAACCAGTATTATCAACCAAGAAAGAAAAGTGAACCCTCATAAAATTTAAAATTTACGTTTCAAGAATCCGAAAATCTGATTAAATACAATAGTGCGTATACTTGAGACTACTGTGCCGATTATTCTGAGTTATAACAGCGGTTCTCACTAGGGGTTTGATGAAAAAAGAAAAAAAAAATTAAATAGACTCTGTTGTAATCGTTTAATAATGCCTTTAGTTAATATAAATATAATAACACCTCTTATATTACTTAATTATACTACTTCCTTAATTTTCCCCCACTTTGACTATTGCTGCACGGTATATGGGGGCGTCCCTTGGGATCTCGAGGCAAAACTAAAACACTTGATAAATTTCTTTGTACGATTCATCTTCGGGATATCAAGAGACGACCCTGTTTCCTGTTTCTATGAAGAGTTGAAGTGGCTTTATCCTTCCTACCGCCGTAAGTATTTCCTGGCATCCTTCCTCTTTCAAGTCATCCAATCCCACCGACCTTCATACATCTCCGAGCTCCTTCAATTCAAATCCTCTGTTCGATCACGCAATACTCGTTCCAGGTCTTCTGATCTATACAAAAGGGCCCACCGAACCGCTGCTTTCGACAGATCGTTCATTATCCGATCCTCATCCTTATGGAACTCCATCCCTTCCCACATCCGACAATCCAATACCCTTCCTACCTTTAAATCTCGCCTGTTCAATCATTTCTTATCCAACCAGTCCCCATCAAATCGTAAATGGATACCACTGTAAATATGTATATTAATTATTATATTGTTCATTATTTTTACTTTATTTTAAATTTTTTATTATTAACTTATTTAAATTAGAAAGTAACTTTTAATTTTTTAATATGACTATTTCATTACTCAACATTTCTTTTTATGTATCTCTGAGGCTCCCTAGCCCACATTACTGTCTTTATGTATTATTCTAAACGGACTCGTCCCAGAATAAATAAAGTATTATTATTATTATTATTATTATATTAAATTTCTACTTCATCGATGTAATGATTGGTGTGAATGTATTTTTTCTCACTTTATACTTTGTCCGTATTATAACAGAATGTTATATTTCACATTAAAAAAACGGGGGGGTTGTCCATACATCTTTCAAATTATTTTCGTGATTAATAAAAAAAATATATATATAGGTATTGAAATTATATGATTCATATACCTAGTCATCAATAACTTTATATTTTTCTTCCAGGTATCGGAGAAGATCTACCACCTCCAGTGCTGACCATCGTCAGGAAGTGGGAGATCCCAGACTCAGAGCAGATCGGCTCCGTGGTGACGAGGGTCCAGGCCAGGCAGGATGGAGAGGCCCGCCTCCAGTTCGGCCTGGAGAAGGACGGCTGGAACCCTGCTGGACTGCCTCCGGACTCCAAGCCTCTTCCCTTCAGGATAGATCCTGACACCGGAGTCGTCTATACTAACCAGTCTTTAGCAGGAAGGGTAAGGCTCAATCTATTTCAATTCCCTTAAAAAAAAAATGCTCTGATAAAAGTAAAAGCAATTTATTCGAATTATTTCTAAAACTCTAATTAGTATTGCTCAAGATTGGTCTTGGCGTAATGTTTGCAAGACCAGTACCAAGACTGGACCTGAAAACAAATTAAATAAATTGAAATCAAGTGTTTTTTTTTTAAATAAAAATTAAGGTAAAATATTTACTAATACTAGACAATTTTAGTTACTACTTAAGATTTGGTAGAACCAATATACTTTTGCATTTAACTCTTTAAATTTTTCAATTAGGGGTTTAGTTTCCCCGCTTTGAACAATGACAGTAACATCTCTATAATATGTAGTGGTAACATTTTTCAAAAAGATATTAAAATTTCCGACAAAATTAAAAAAATCGTCTAAATCGGGACGGTTTTATAAGCGTTCCAGTGTATTGAATTTTATACAGTAATTTCCTCTTCACAATCCAATCAGACGCTGGTTAAATACATACTATGTAATAAGGCTTTAATTTTCTTTAGACATTTTTTTCTCTTATTTTTTATTGTTTTATTCTGTGTTGAACGTGAATTTTCATCACCACTCACAAAGCATTGTGAGTTGATAAAATTTATTTTTCTTAATTTCTAATTTTTCTATTCATGAGATTGTATTTCGTTAAAATGTATTTTATTTTCTAATTATCTTCAACACACTCCTTGATATGTGTATATATATATAAACTTTATTTTATTTTTTCTTCTCCTAATCTTTACGCATAATCACTTAAATATCTTAGGGAACATATGTATATCATTTTTTTTACAATTTATTTCTACACATATTAACAGTTATTATTAATTTTTTTTTTAATTTGTATATTCCATCACTACAATGCTTTGCCTATAAAATTGATTTTGCGTTCCTTTCCATGATTATTATGTAATTTTTTTAACTGCAATATTGTAGTACTGAACCCCTATTACCCAACTGTTCTCGTTAATTTATCCTAAGAGCTATTATACTTAATTTATTACTAGTATTTTGTTATTATTCATTGTAATAGGTCTTTTGGTCAGATATACGGTTAATTTATATGAACAATACTGTTATTCTAAAGGGACCTAGTCCCAGAATAAAGATGATTTTTCTATTCTATTCTATTCTAATTTTAATAATTGTTCACTTGCCCGTTTACATTGCTTTAGTTCATCAAATAGATCTTACTTTAATGATTTGTGTGATCGGTTATCAGGAAAATTAGGCTAATTCAATTGTTATATTTTAAATGCAAATATTTAGAATTAACAAAAAAATGTTTAAAATCGGTAGGACAGTCATATGAGTGCACAAACCAGGTTTTTTGTATTTAAATAATTAGTGATATTGTATAGATTATCTTTACTATACAACTCTTCCATTTCAAGGTTGGACTTTTCTTACAATATCTTTAATGTATTGTCAAGTTAATTTGGTTATATTTTACTATGTTTATTTCAATAAAACATCTAAATTTACCTATTCTGTAGCGTTTTTAAAGATCTAAATTAACATGTTGAATATATAACTATATGCTAATAGGTAACTGCAAGACAAAGACCAAGACTAAGATTCGTCTTGGTCTTGCATTTGGGCAACATTAGCCCTAATAATGATTTTTATCTATCATTATTCTATAATTCTGTAGTTATGAGTTTAGGATTCTAAAAATAATTTGGAGAAAGTGATATGATTTTGACTATATGTAATTTTCTTTTAAAAATTTAAAAATCAATGTAACTGAAGTATCGTTGTCATTAACGAGCATTGACAAATTTTGAGGTCATTTATTGATTATATGGGTATAGAGAGAAAGAATATTTCTGAAAAACCCGGTCGATCGATAGAATGGAGTCCGGCAAGTGCGGTAGGATATTGACTGAGGTTTAACTAAGGTATTTTTTTCTGGGTAGTTAATTTAATAACTGTTAACGGATTATTAGCTAGATTTTGTCATTTTTGCTTTTGACTTTAAGCATTTACCTTGTTGCACCTGTCTACTTTGTGTCCCCGACTTGTTTCAAATACTTAGATTGTTTAAGGAAGGATATCTCTCCTTTAAAGACTCTTAGTGGCCTCCTCACATTCAGAGGTTTGTCAGCTGTGGCCTTGGCTCTAATCAGTTGTTATGCTCGTTTAAAATCATTGGTAAAGGGGTCGTTATTTGTAGGTCAGCTGTTAGAAGATGAAGGTGAGTATTTAGAGTTTTGTTAGTCACACACTGAGGTTCTTTTATTATGAGTTGCAATAACTTTCATTGGAAGGATTTAAGTTTTTGTAGCTCGGTCATTTCAACGATACCATCTTTGATGAGTAAGCCCATGTGGATTTAAGGAAGAAGGAAAACATATTCAGTTTCAGTTTTGTAGTTTTAGTCAATTAAATCCAATTTTTGAAATTCGTAAAATATTGTTAAATAATAAAAGAGATTTTCAGTATATAAATTGTTTTATTTTTTCAATCCAAACTTGATTTTAATAAGTTTCATCGCATTTTTCTTGCTCTAAAACATACAATGACATCCCTTTGATTAAATAATACTGAGAGGTAGTTGTAATTATGAGTGAGGAAATAGTTATGGATTTAAAAGAATAACGATATTAATCCTTAGCTCTGAAATTAATATTTCTGAATTGGAATCAGGCATTGTTTATGATGAAGGTTTTTGGAGCCTATTTTGGCAAACACTTGGCCTACACTGTTTGCCCAACATCCCCTCTCCCCTCCCCCATTGGTTCATTAGCCCTTTCACAGTTCATAATTTACAAATATTTGATAAATGATTACTGAATTGGGGCGGCTTAAAACAAGACTTTGTCGCCTTGATTCTAAAATATATACAAGTACATTCTCACTAAAAGCTACAACACCCAATGCGAATTTTATAAATTAATATATATAATTAAATTTAATTATGGTTGAAGGGCGCCCAATTTTATATTGAGTACCATAACGGCGGATAAACTTCCATTTTACAAATTATCAAACTACAATTACTCGTTGCTCAAATTTTGTATCTATAATTTCCATGTCTTCTATAATTCATATTGTAATATTTTTTATCAACATAAAATAAACAGAAAAAAACCACAGTTCGGATATATTTTTTATTTCATTTAAAATCTATATTATGCATATACTTATCAAAATAAAACGTAATACTGCTGTAATATTGTGGAAATATTACTATAATGGGAATTCCATAATGAAGTGTTAATACGTCAGAAGCCTAAAACGACTTAGTCACAAGATGGATAATTATTGATCTTCACGTTTTTCAATTAAACGCGCTTCATTTGACCATAATAGAAGAATTGTGCAATTTACGGTAGATTACATCCATGATTAATTTAAAAGGTTATAAAATTTCATACAAAATAAAAAATAAATATCAAAATCGGACCATTATAGTAAATATATTGAATACAGTAAATTAAAGAAATTAAAAATTAATTGTTCTACCTCATAATGCACTGCATTAACATATTTCCATACTATTTTATCAGTTGTTCACTGTCCAATATTTTATGCGAATTATATGCACCATCCTGCTAATTATAATTAATCTTATTGCCAATTTGTAAACATAAGGGAAAAATAGTTCTGGGAAAAAGAAGTGTGGTGACTTAGTTAAGGTCTATATATGAAATAAAATATTACACGATGGTCTCTAAAAACTTTTTTATATGATGGAGCGATTGTTTTATTTTTGCATCTAATTTTTCATTGCAGCCCAAGATTCCCATTTTATACAATTTTCGTTAGAGGGAGACTTATATAAAAAGCTATATAAATAACTACAAATACAAAAGATCTTAACCATAGAAAACTCTATTTAAATGATTTATTGGAAAAATAGAAAATTTTCAGATTTTAAAGAGAATATCCAAAATATTTTGGCAATTGATGCACCGATCCAGTTTTAAAAACTATGTTTTAAATGAGATCTCCATGATTAAATACGGTATTATATTATGCTAGATAAATACGGGAATACTTTATAGAGTCTGTGATAATTATATATTGCTTTATAGTTACGGCATGAATAAATAAACCGAGCATAATTTATTCTCGCTTATTATAACGTGTTTGTTGTTTTATCATTAATTTTCCTCTCAGGCGATTTAAGTCGGATTACAGCTCTGTTCAACTGTTCAAATTTAAATAAAATAATATGATATTTATAAAATTTCCGCTTCATATATAATAATTAAATAAGTTACTTTTAGAATATTGAGAACAATATTTTCATTTCACTTTATTGTCAAGCAAATTGACGTTAACCTATTCAAATGATTTATTTTTTTTTTTAAATTAAACTTACATATTTATCCGCGTCTGTCGACGATCTGTTGACAATCAGCAGATGGTTTGATGAAAGAAACAAAACTGATATGCCAAGCATGAGGAAAGATAGCACCCCTTCTCAACCTGCAAGGTCTCTCATCCAGCGCCTTTTTAGTCTCCTCGTTGTTAGTAATGGCAATGTCAGCTAAAGCTATATCTCTTATTAGTAAATTAGCATACATGAGCGACGTTACATCTCGTTACCGAAACTGGGCCTCCTCTAAGAAGTGCCGGGCGTCCGCAGAGACCGATTACATCCACTGGACGTTCGGTCATCCAACTCTGGAATTGAAGCTCTTCGGTGAGGATCATTTTCAGAATCTCATTAGCAGACATCCTTTGCTCATGTCCCTCCATGTAAGTCACCCGATCTTCACAAATTTGACTATGTAAACATCGTTAAATACTCCGGTTAGTTCAGAATTCCTCCTTCTGTAGACATCGTCCTGTCTAACAGGTCCGAAAATCCGTCAGTCAAGTATTCATGAGCGCCCAAGCATATGAAAATGAATTGTATAAGGTTATTAACCGATTAATTACAAATATCCAATACCTACGTTACTATCTTGAAGACATAGATAGACTAAAAAAAAAATGTGATAAAAAATGACAGCAAATTAGAATAAAATTATATATAAATAATACAAAATACTTGATAGTGAACTGAAAACAAAATTTGTTTTAACTTCACGTGAATTTGATTAAATCTTTGTCATCACATTTGTATTCAGTTTATTTGTTTCTAAACTTTTCCTTGAGTTTTATATGACGGAATAAATTATATTAAGTTTTGTACTATTTTGTACAATTTTCTTAACCGAATTTGCCAAAACCGCATGTTCCCGCATCTGAATTTTGTATTGATCATTAGCACAGGATTGAAACCACAATTTTATTACTAGATCTTGGTGTTGGTTGGCGCAAGGTAATTATCCTATAGCATTACGAAACTCCAGTGTTCGTTGAGTAATAATTTATCCTATGAAAATACAAAATATTAGGATTTATTAAGAAAGCAATTATTTGACAAATTACATAACAGAATATGTTTTTAAAAATCAACAAAAACATCAAAAATATATTTCATGATTAGTTGAAAAAATAGTTTAGAGAACGTTAGTTCAAGGATATTAGAGAACTTTTTCATGGGTATTGTATACCATGTATTTGGCTGGCCCTTTCATATCTGGTAGAGTCTCTTACTGGGTTCTTTGTCAAGTTTGGATCGGTGGATAACCAACTGACTGCAGTAAAATCAGGTGACTTTTTTTCTCATGCCTTATAAAATAGAGAAACAACTTCTGTGTCAGGGTACCCAAATACGAACTATCTCTTTGGTTATGAGCAACTTTTTGAGGTTACTAACCTCCTGGACTTTGAGAGACCTACGGTTTTATTTTTAATATTCTTCTAGGTAATATTGTAGGTATTATTAATATTAGGTAATATTGTAATATATTGTCTTCTATTATATTTTGACCGTTCTATTACTTTTCTTCCAGGGTGGAGAGAACATATTCCTCTACGTCACCGTGTCCAACGGAGAGCTGACACAGAAGACTCAGGTCTGGGCAAGCATCCTCGAGAGCGGGGCTCCTCTGCAGCCTGGGAACGTTGGGCAGCTTCCACCTCGCCCACCGGTTTCGAACCCGCCCCCACTTCGGACTATCCTCAAGTAAGTTATCAGTTATTAAATATAACTAATGGATTAAGGAGACTAAAAAAATGTACCACTACAATCAATGAAGGGTTTTGGGTTTAGTACTTATGTACTTTTAGGAAGTACTGATTCAACCTCAACGGTTGTTGGGAAACAGGATTATGCTAGATTAATAAACAGAAACAGCCTAGATTATGCTCAACCACCACGTTTTTCCTCCTTATTGATTGTTTAATTAAGAGTACCCACTTTAAAGAGGTACTTTATAGACTACCCCAGATGGGTCTTCCGATCCTAGAAGCGGTCCACGGTTGATGATTTTTTTTTTATCACGTAATTTCTTGACCTCAGCAGGATTCGAACCCGAGACCTTCAACTTAGCAGCCCAGTACCTAACTCACTAGCTAGGAATATATTACTAATAATAATAGACGTAATAAGTATGTTTATTTAACCTCTTTTATTGAATAATATTCAAGTCTTCCTCAATTGAGCGTAATGATATTAGTTACGAAAGAGCAAAATGTATAAATCAACTAAATAATAGCAATATCACACAAAAAAATAGGAACAAAATGAAGTAGCAATTAGGAAAAAAATTAAATATATTAAAAATAATAATAAAATGTCTTACGTATAGGCTGAATAAAGACAACAAATGTCCGAACAATTTGTAAAATCTCATTACTATCTAGAAAATATGTTCTTAAGTTACGTTTAAACAATTCCCGAATTATAGGAAATACAATTATATAATTTAACTAAAAGCGACATTAGGTCAAACTTTATTTCTATTTCTCTTGTTACCGACAGTAAATGAAAAACATCAAAAACAAGAACCAAAAACACTAACATAGAGAAACATCCTTTCAGATATTTGCTTTTACCATAATTTATTAAATGTTTAAACGCACAGGGGGGTTTTATGTGCCATCAGAATTTTTGGGGGACATTAAATTTTCAATTTTAAGAGAACATTTAAACCAGGAAATAAATGGGGGAAAAGGGTACTCTGAGGTTTCCGGGTTTATATAAAAATATCTAAGGGCGCCGCATACTTGGAAGAGCGGCAGATACGACTTTATCCTAAGTACTCAACACAAGCAGGACATAGTCTTCCGTATTTCCAGTTTCAGCATTATCTCAAAGGGCACCGCTTGTTTGAAATATCGGTATGTGGTACCTCTATTGTGTGTGTGTGTGTGTGTGTGTGTGTGTGTGTGTGTGTGTGTGTGTGTGTGTGTGTGTGTGTGTGTGTGTGTATGTGTGTGTATGTGTGTGTGTATATGTATATATAAGTTAAGCGTCGGCGGACTCTAACAATAAAAAAAAAGAAAGGAAAGGGCTTGAAATGCAACACTCACGGTTTCAGAATAGATACTGATTTATTCCTTTAGTAATCCTCCTTATATACATTTCATATGTTTATTTACATTCAGGACGGCATTAAGGCTGATATCGCCGGTCTCCGGTCTTTATCTCCCCCCCACCAGTTTACGAATAGGATTTTTCGGAAACTTAGATATTCCTAGATCGGAGCCAACGATTATCAGTCTTAACACCTTACAATTGTTTTTACAAGTATAAAGTTGAAAGAAAGTAAAACTCACTCGAGACATACAATAATACAAAGAAATAAAAAAAAAACAGAACTAAACACAACACTTGCTTCCAAAAACAGAACTCTTAATACCCTAAAAAAAGAAAAAAAAAATAATACACTTTCCTCTACTGTATTGCTATGATTCTATTTACACATAAAAAAAAAATACACCATATTTCTGCTTTGACAACCAAAAAAACATATTTGTTATAAACCGTGGTGAGGGTACTACGAATCCATTAGTTTTTGTTCCGGTTCTATCATTGGGAGCTTCAATTGTTCAATGTGAACAGTTCTCCTCTTTCTAGGTTCATTAACGCTTTCGATCGTTAGCAGATTATGCTCCCTAATAGCAACCACTCTGAATGGACCCTCGTACCGTAACAATTGTTTCCCTCTGTTGGTTCCTACTCTACGGTACACTATTGTCCCGATCTTTAGATCACCCATTTGGTCACGTACGCGAACATTTTGCCTCTCTACCCGCTTCTCCTTTTCCCGCTTAATTTTCCCCGTTACTCTTCCCCACGTCTTTTCCACCTCCACCCTATTGCTCTGGATTTGCTCGACTAATGGTTCATTAACCGTTGTTTCCCCGCAATCTCGCCTTGGCCTGCGCATCCCGAATAGTACTTCCACGGGCGAAAATCCCGTGACGGAGTGAATCGAGTGGTTGTAGGCTGTTACCGCTTTCTTCATTGCAACATCCGGCTCCAACCCTTTTTCCCCCTGATACACCCGGATGTGGTCACTCAGCGTGCTGTGCAACCGCTCAATGCCGCCTCTACCTTTAGGATGTCCCGGGGTGTTATAATGCCAACGAATGCCTAGTCGTTTCACCTCCTCCCTAATCGCGGCATTGTCAAACTCCCTACCACCGTCCGATGTGATCCTCTCGGGGACCCCGTAGAACTGCACCCAGGTTTGTAGGGCTTCCGCAACTGCGTTGGCAGACTTGTCCATGACCTGGTGTGCCATAGCTACCTTGCTAAAGACGTCGATGACCGTGACCCACTTGAACCCTCTCCAGGTAAATGTATCAATCTGGAGGTCCTGTAGTGGCATATTCCCCGTAGGTGTCTCTTCCTGAATTCCTCTGGGGGGGTGTCGATCATATTTCGTGCGCATACACACCTCGCATTTCCCTATGACCTCTTGGATGGATTTTTTCATGCCCCACCAGAAATACTTTCGACGTAATGCCTGCAACGTCTCGTTCACGCCTCGGTGGTTGGTTTTCCCCTGGTGATAAGCTAATGTGACTGCCTGTTGCTGTTCCTCATCCTGTATAGTTTCCACTGCATACTTGCAACGGATGAGCGTTCTGTCCACACCAATTCGCTCGGATCTCCACATCCGCTTTATTTTATCCCATACCGTGTTATTCCCAACATAGAGATGGTGCGTCTTTCCAGGTTCCGTGGCGTCCTTCAGTGCCGTACGAATTTGCTCTTCACTCACCCCGGGTTGCGACCAGATGACGCGAATCTTGCTTTTCCCATATCTTCGGTAATCTATTTTCATCATCCCTGCTACTCTCGTTTTCCAGATTACCTGACGATGCTTGTCATTGATGATGTCGTCTATCTCCTCCATCTCCACTGCTCTTTCCTCCGCTGAGCTCTCCTCTTCCGGGGACTCTCCCCTGTCATCTATACCGACGATATCATCTGCTCCTTCGCCATCGGGAGTCCATTCACTCAAGAATTGGCGCACGTCTCGCGATGGTCCTCCCCCGTCCTCTTCTACCGCGTTGATCATGATGGCCCTAGAGAGCCAATCCGCCACCACGTTCTCCTTTCCCGGCTTATACACCACCTCTATATTGTATTGGCTAAGGACTTCCTTCCATCGCGTGACTCTAGCTGAGGTTTCCTTAAGTTTCCCTACCCACTGCAGGGGTTTGTGGTCGGTGTGAACTCGAAACTTCCTCCCAAATACGTATGGCCTGAAATGGTCGATAGCCCACACTATCGCGAGTAGTTCCCTCTCCAAAGCGCTGTATCGCGATTCCGCACCCGTAAGTCGACGGCTCGCGTATGCTATCGGTCGTTCACCCTCACTCCCCCCCTGGGACAAAACGGCCCCTAACGCGTATTCACTCGCATCGGTGGTTATATTAAAGAGCTTCTCAAAATCCGGGAACGCCAACACCGGCTCCGTCAGCAACCTATTCATACATTTTCGAATATTATTCTCCATCTCTGGTGTCACCACAATCTTCGCGCCTTTCTTCAGCAAATTGTTAATGGGTACCAAATACTCTGCCATCTCGGGTACGAATCTCCGGTAATAATTCAGCGTCCCGAGAAGCCTACGGATCCCCTTCACGTCCCGTGGTACCGCCATCCGTGTGATTGCCTCCACCTTTGCCGCATCCGGTCTGACCCCCTCGCTAGAGATAGTGTGGCCTAAAAAATTGATCCGCGTTTGTCCCAGCAGAGACTTCTCGCTTGACAATTTCAGCCCGAATTGCCGGAGCCTTTCGAATACTGACCTCAGATGTCCCACGTGTTCGGTTTCCGTTCTGCTAAAAATCAGCAGGTCATCCATGTATACCTGACATACCGAGTCATCGATACCCCTCAAAAATTCGTCCATCAGACGCTGAAATGTTATGGGCGCATTCTTCAGACCAAACGGCATTCTGGTGAATTCATAATGCCCCCTTTCAAATGTAAACGCTGTTTTGTGTTGGTCTTCCGGGTGCATCCGTATTTGGTGATATCCCGCCTTGAGGTCCAGCGTGCTAAAGACCACGGCCCCACTCAACCTATCGAGTATATCTTCGAATCTTGGGATCGGGTACTTCTCGTCTACCGTGTTATCGTTCAATTTACGATAGTCTACTACCACCCTGTATTTTTCCTTATTATCCCCCGGCGCTGCCTTCTTTTTCACCGCCCACAGGGGACTATTGAATGGTGAGGTGCTATCAACTATGATTCCTTGTTCTTTTAGACTATCCAGCTCCTCCCGAATATGCTGCCTCAACGCCTGCGAGTATCTTCTCTCTTTCACGTAAGTTACCCTATCCTGTTTCAGTGGGATTTCATGCACCGTCCTCCCTGTTACCCCTAATACCTCACCTTCCCTGAAGAAAATATCCCTGAACTCCTCCTGAAGCAACTTCCTCCAGTCCTCCACTCTGTTCACCGCTCCTATCCGCACCCTTCTTTCTCTCGCGACCCCTATACATCCGAACTTCCTCTTTCCCAACCTAACACTCCAGGCTCCTCTACAATTTCTAATGCTCGCCCCTACCTGCCCTAACAAATCGCACCCTACTATGACCTGGTATTCCCGAGTCATGTTTTTTACTACGTGTACCCTCAGTTCGCCCTCTTTTCCTGCCCACCGATCAAGCCTTATTGTCGCTTCTCCCTCTACACTACAGGGGCCACCCAGAGTG